CCAGGAGGGTTTAAATCTATAGTTTGTTTGAGACCCGTGAGGTCTCTGACCCCAGGAGGGTTTAAATCTATAGTTTGTTTGAGACCCGTGAGGTCTCTGCACGTCCCAAGGACACCAGGAGGGGTTTGCGGCCCCAGGAGCTGAGGGAGTGAATTGGGCTCCACCTGGGGATCCCAGCACGGAGCAGGATTGATGGCCCAAGGTCAGAGCCAACAAAGCCCCTTCTGTCCTGCTGCTCAGGGCAGGTGACACCAGTGGGTTTGTTAACTGGGGAGGCAGCCAAGGGGGCAAGAAAGGTCAGAATTTTACCTGAAGAGGTAAAAAGTGACCTGCTAGGATGGGATGTGTGAGCAGGGGCGGGAAACTGACAGGGTCATGGGGAGCGTGGGAGGGGCTGTGAGCCCTGGAGTGCCCAGGGAGTGGGGACACGGGAGGGGACTTTGGGAATAGGGAATAGAAACCTTATTCACCTGCCTATGGGTGTGCCTGCTTGTTTAGGTCACCCATTCCTGCAGGAATGTGAATAAACTGTGCTTTGTTGGAGGGTCTGTGTGGGCCTGTTCATTGGTGCCACAAACGTCTCTCACAGGGGCAGGGTGGGCTGGAGCCCCCCAGGAGCAGGTCATGGCACAGCAGCTACAACTTGTCTGCAGGTTCCTGCCCCTCACTAAAAGAACTGCCGGTCATAGAAGATTTTGCAGCCAGGGCTGGAGCAGCTGAGGGAGCTGGGAATGTTTTAGTCTGGAGAAAAGGAGGCTGAGGGGAGACCTTAGTACCCTCAACAGCTGCCTGACAGGAGGCCGGAGCAAGGGGAGGTCTGGCTTTTCTCCCGAGGAGCAAGTGATAGGACAAGAGGAAATGGGCCCAAGTTGTGCCAGGAGGGGTTTAGACTTGATATTGGGAAAAACCTTTTTCCCAGAAGGGGTGTCAGGCCCTGGCCCAGGCTGCCTGAGGCAGTGGTGGAGCCCCCACCCCTGAAGGGATTTAAAAGCCTCTTAGATGTGGTGCTGAGGGATGTGGTTTAGCACTGGACTTGGCAGTGCATGGGTTAAGAGTTGGACTCAATGATCTTAAAGGTGTTTTCCAAGTGACAGTATTCCATGATTGCCTGGTAGCTGAGGCTGGCACAGCCCATCACTTCCCTTTCTGACCCTCTGGCTGCTCTCCTGAAGCCTGTGTGGGAGCATTTTGCAGGATGTGGCAGCTGCAGGATGATGGATGGTTCTGTCATTCAAGCACAGCCCAGATTTCCTGATGTCAAATGCAAGAACCCAGAGGTGAAAGAACCAGTTTTTTGGTGCCTCCTCCAGACAAACTGTGAGCACTGAAGCCTCCGTGTGGCCCCATAACACTGCTTGGGGGGGAGCAGCACAGCAGCTTGGAAGTGCAGCATAACCCAAGGTTAAAAGAAGAAAATGAACCAGTATTAAAGAGCTCGTGGGTATTTTGCACACCTCAGAGCTTGTCTGCTTGTGATCCAACAGGTCAGTTCTGCTTAGAGTCACTGGGAAGCAGACAGAGGCACATGGCCTTCCATCCAGCTGCATGGGGATTAAAAAGTTATTTAAAAAAGAAGGGAAAGTCACTGCTAGTGGGGAGGAAACAGCAGCAGCACAGAGCTCCTCTGGCAGCTCAAGACATCCCGTTTACAGACCTATTTTACAACCCAGAAAGCACAGGAGGGATCATCCCCCACCCGGAGGCAGCAGGTGAATCGGTCGAGGCTGGGCAAAGAAAGAAAAAACAAACCTGCCAAGGCCCGTTATCAGCCCCACGGGACCGGCTCCGGGACCGGCTCGTGCCGGGTTTGCCGGGTGCTGGGCCCGGGGAGTGTTTTCCCGGGAGATAAGGAGCCGCAGCTGCTGCCGGAGCCTCCCGGGGACCTGGCGGGAGCCCGAACCCTACCCAGGTGAGCGACCGCCCTTGCTCGGGGAGGATTCATTACCCAGGCGGCTGATTGCGGGTCCTCCCTCAGCGCCGGGGTCCGGGCTCTGCCCTCGGGGCCGGGAACCCCGGGGGTGACTCTGCCCGGACCTGCAGCGCCCGGAGCTGAACCACGAGTTTCCCCGCGCGGTGTTCGGGTCAGAACAGCCGAATCTTCCTCTCTTGGGAGGCTTTTGCTGGCAGAAAGAAATACGTAAGGGTCGGGTGAGCACAGCTGCGGTGCTCCCGGCCGTGGGGACAGGGCGGGATGCTGGGATCTCACC